TTCTTTCTTCCTGTAGTAACTTAGTTATTCCAGTGTTGCATCGCTTTCTTAAGTGGGCAGGATTTCGAACGCTACTGCCATAAAAAAAATCTTCACTTATTCTACTCTGCGAAGAATGTACTTTTAGGTATTGCTGCTCAGTCCTGCTTATCTTTTCCCTGTTTAAATGTTACATATAAACGCCGTGATTTTATGGTGCTCTATAAAAAGCTTGCACAGCAATTTTATATTTCAGGTCTGATAAAATCGTACTCAACGAAAACGGCAACGGTCAACGGGATGAAGTTTCAAGTGACCGTCGATCAGACGATAAAATACCGTGAGTGTCCACATGCGTCGTTCAGCCAGGACAGCAGTGTGCTGTTGAAAGTAGATCGAAATTACGTCGTATATGATCCTATCGAAAAAATCGCCCGTTTCGCCTCCGGCAATTCTATCGACAAGCTGGACAATTGTAAAGTCGTTTTGTTAAGCAGTTACGCATCGTCATGTTTATGACATGCCTTTTATTAGACGTCGAAGACGATCCGTGCAGTGATGGACTGCACAGCTGCACCGACGACCACATGGCCTGCGTGGGCGAAGGCACCAGACATCGCTGCATATGCCGTGAAGGCTACAACATGGTTTATGACAACCAGCTGCACCATCAGCAGGGACGATGTGTCGGTAAGTCGTGCCGGCGTGAGTGTCGCAACGCTGCATGCGGTTACTCTCTGCGACCAGACTCATGTGTCATTTCAGACATCGACGAATGTACGGAAAATATCCATCGGTGCAGTCCGAACGCCATATGCCGCAACGAACCGGGAACGTATGCGTGTCTCTGCCGCACTGGCTTTGAGGGAGACGGCTACCGTTGTACAGGTCAGTTTCAACTGATTCCTTCATCATTTCGTTTGTAGAAACAAAATTGTTTAAGTTCGTAAATCGTAATGTGCTTCTTCATATTTGCGATGGTGATTTTGGGCACGTACCTTGGGCGCGAATAATCAGTCCTCGTTTGTCACTGCTAGAAATCGCATTTTATTGGTTTTAGATACAGCTGGTAGTCCTTAGTATAAATGTGGCGGTTTCAGCCGAACTACGTTGCTCATCCTCAGGGCACTAAGTTTTCTTCATCCTTTATTTATGCGTATATGAAGATCAGGTTTATGATAACTAACTTTGCAAAGGTTTATTTTGCAGATAACCAATTAACGATTTATTTTCATTACAAGATTCTCCATTAAGTTAACAAACCTTTCCGGTGCAAAATTTCACAACATTACTTTGTTTACAGAAAGAAAATTGAACTGCCAGGATGTACAGTGCCATTCTGATGCTGACTGCCAAATAGACTCATCGAACAACCCTATTTGCGTGTGTCGCTCAGGCTTCGAGGGCAACGGCTACGTATGTCGCAGGATAGAGGCTTCGAATCCTTGTAAATCCGTACGATGCGATCCTAACGCTCAGTGTGTGATCGATGCACTTGGCGCCCCGACTTGCGCATGTAACGAGGGCTACACTGGAGACGGCTACATGTGCAACAATCTCTTCCAGCAACCTGAAATCCACATCGGTAAGGTGCTTGAAGAGCGTTCTTTAATTAAAGTGCGAGGATATGTAAATTTTCGACCGTATTTTTCATGGCACATTCATTAGATGCAAGAGTTTCAGAACCTCAGCGTACATGCGAGAGCGTTCCATGCCCATTAAACTCACATTGCCGTTATGATAACCGTCGCCAACCAGTCTGTGTGTGCGACGATGGATATGAAGGAGACGGAAGGACTTGTCAGAAGAAAGCGATGCCCGCAGAAAATGGTATACGTTCAGCGACTCTGCCGCTTGCTTGCTCCCACTAACTGCTTCTGCAACGCTTTCATTCTTCTGCTTCTTTAGAACATCCTCAACCAGTGAGGGTCACAGATCTGACTCATACAAAACACTGCTTTTATACTCGTTTTTCGTCGTTAGCTGTTGGATAGCATCCGATTCACCGTTCGGTCTGTTTCGGGATCGTTCATCGAGCAGTTGTTTGGCTTTCATTTGGCGTGATCAGATTTGAGAGCCGTAAAGTTGTACTTCATGAACACTTCAGTAACAGGACAAAGTTCCTTGTAGTCACTGTTGAAAGCTAGGCTCTATCATAACGATTAGATTGTATCACCTGGCGTTACGAAAGAACATTGTGCTCGTTTACAGCGTCCCCCAATTTCTGGTGCATTTAGCATATAATGCATGACTTACTGCAGACGTGTCTTCTGTATCTTGCGTACTGTCCTGCGCATATCCCCTTGCGACCATTAATTTTCTGCCAGCACTACAGATTAGTATAGATCCGATTACAAAACTAGAAATTCATATTTTTATAATAGTTACTTGCCTCAAAATCTCTGCCTAGAAATTACAATCTTTTGGCAATCTTTGCATTGTATTTTTGGCATCAGCAGTTGAGTAAACATCTTTTCCCATTCTGATGTGACTCTGGCCCTTGATTAAATTTATGGTTCAGTAAATTTCCAAGAACTCGCCGCCGTATATGTGAGGTTGTATCGTCCACTTGACTGCGAAGCAAAGCCTCAGAAACAAAGAACTTCCGCTCAGACATATCAGGGAGCGATAAGCAGTCAGGCAGCCTTGACTGGATCACTCTCAAAGAAATATGCATATTCAGGATCTCGGTTCCGTCGTGTTGCGCAATGAGTAATCGAAAAATAAAACTGTTGCATGTATTTCAGTAGTGAGAAGATTGCTTCTGGAACCGTTCTGAAAAATCAACCTCTGAACGAAATTACGCTTCCTGCAAATCACTGTGAGCTTACAATTAATGTATATATGTGAATGCGGGATCGCTCCCAAGAAGAACAGCAAGAAGTTAGAAGTATTCGATTATTGGTGCCTCCATACCCTACTGCGAGTGCCTCCTCTCGATAAGGTTCTCTCCGCTTCGATGTTGCCCAAACTACAACCATCGAAATCTTCGATTAGATATCTTGGATTAGATATTTTCTTCAGCCATCCCCTGAAGAGACAGTCTGAGAAGACGCTGCTTGCCACTCTCTGCTCTGGGTCGCATCAACGGAGGTATTGTCCAGTCAAGACATAGAGAGAAACAGTAAGACTCAACTTCGAAAAGACTGCGGGACCTGCATTCTACAGAATGGGGCGGGGCGGCAGCGATGCGCGACCGCACTGAAACCGGTTAAGTTAGTCATGGCTACAGCCTTAACGAATCGGAAATTCAGTAAATTTAATTCGATCTTATTTTTCAGTAGTTATGCCAATATCACATTTCAGTAATGCCTAGAAAGGTAGCTTGAAGAGAACGTTTTAACCTTTAGAAGGGCGATTTTCAGTACGATTTTTTGACAGGCGGTATTTATTGTGCCTTTCTTTTAATGGTTTTTATTACATCACGATACTGTTAGGCAGCAAGTATCAAACATTTCGTTTTCATTACAGCTAATCAGCTGTTTTGGCACAACCTCTTGTTTCCTTCGCACTTTGTGACATTCATTTGCCTATTTCAGACTGTAGAAAAGAGAATGACCCAGCTAGTAACTGGGTTAGTGATCTTTCACCGGTGAATCAGACGTTCGACTATTTGAGCTAGATACTTACAATTGGTAAGAAAGCCAAAATTTACTGAAAGCACAAAAAATAGACATTCTTAGTGATGATATTCCAAAAACTAATTTTCAGGTAAGCAAATACAAACTGTAAATGTCTGCTTCCTGTAAATGTAGAGTAGAGCACATCTTTCGCTTAAATGATATGCCGCTTTATGAAAACCTTGATCTGTCTTGGAATCTTAACCATTCGTTTCAGTCAAACTGTGCAGCAGTCACGAGGAGTGTGGCGACACCGCCTATTGTGCGTATAACGATCAACACCGACGTTACCAGTGCAAGTGCAGACCGACGTTCACCGGCGATGGCGTCAATTGTCTGCCGGAGAGAAGTAAAACCAGGTTGTGGTTTAAAGCCTCTTGTTTAATTCGAAGCTCTCTTTGAGGATCCTGCGACGTGGCACACGATTGTCATGTAAACGCGGACTGCTTCTGGCAGCAGGACGCTACCGAAGTAGGTTACAAGTGCAGGTGCCGTTCGGGTTTCACTGGCGACGGTTACAAATGCGAGGAAATTAAAAAACGTAAGAATTTTATCATACTTCCTATGATGCAAGGTTCTGATGCCTAGGCAGTTGTTCTGTGAAAGAATTTAAGAATTTTTAAACTGGTTTTTAAAACCTTTAATGCTATAATTTCAAAATGGTACATCTTGCAGGAATACAGAATTACAAAATTTGAAATACAGAATTTAAATTAGTTTATCGAAAGTTTATTTTCATTCTGCGCTGGAATCTTTCACAAAGGCTGATTTTAGCAACGTTTATCACGCAGCGTCAACGTTTCAGACACCGTAGCGGCATTCTTCGGGACAGAAAACTAGCAACGAATATAAAAGTGTATTCTGAAACTCAAATAGCTTCAAATTAGATACAGTAAACCCCAACCATTGGCGATTTCAGCAGTTTCTTATTAAAGGAAATATGCAATGATTCTTTGATCATAAACTTAGCATTACATCATTTTCATGGTCAACCACTGAAACGTTTTCTTCTACACGCCTTATAATATAGTTACGATCTTGTAGAATAGTTTATGACCCAAGAATATTTGTACATCTCAGCTAATAAGTACAAACTGTGCGATAGTTGCATAGGTTCTTTTGATCTCGCTAAAAATTGGGGTTTGCTATTTCCTCTTTGAAGGTACTTGAGTCTCAGAATACACCGCGATATCTGTCACGAAGAAGGCCGCGGCTGTGTGGCTGAAACTTTGACAACTGTGTGATAAACGTTTCATAATGTCAGTATTTGTCATGCGCAAAAATCTACTGAATCAGCAACTTAAAGCATTGAATTAGTTTATTTTCATTTTGTTTAATTTGTACCTAATTAGTTTATTCTCATTGTGACTAATGACTAACTTAAAGAACCCAGTTCAACATATGTCAAGAAGTTAATTTGCGGTTATGAATCACTCCTTCTTTTGGCTTAGAAATTTCAATTATAACTGTCGAGGCATGTGTTGAGGATGCCGAGAGAGAAACTCTCCGGCACGTTTCTTTGACGAAAGTACGTGAAGACCACTGCATGACAAATCGTATACCAAATAGCTCGTTTGTAGAAAGTCTAGCGTTGCCATTGTCGAAATTCAAGCGATGGAACTGGACCCTGTGGTAATTAGTCGAGACCATGGGAAAAGTTGTCTGAAGCAGCTGTGTCTCCCTTTCCCAAATGAAATAGCAGGTTTTGAAAATGAATTACTTTCGTCGCGACAGCAAAGGGATATTAAGTTGAGAGCTTTTACTCTTTTGCCAAACAACGGTTTAAAGCACAAAAGTGCTGCGGAAATTTTAATATTATTTTTTTTATCGCAAACCATGGGTCGATCAGGAGGAGCGGGATTGCCGATCAGACAGAGCCTCAAGTGCTTGAAGAACAAGGCTAAGGATTATGAATTTGGCAGTGCTAAAATGGAAATTGACTCTTTCTGGCGGGAATTCAGTTCAAAATTCGAAAAATCCTTCAGAGGATGATACCGCATGTAATTTATTGCACATGTTAATTACACAATTTATTATGTGACGTTTGTTTAGCTTGTCAGGCTTGTTCGAATTTAACGATGCCTATCGGGCAAACGATCGAAGAATAAAGGATGCTAAATTTTGTATATTTTTGCCTTTGCACTTTGACTTTCGGTGTAATATTTTCTTTTATTTTATATTTGGTTGTTTTAATGTCCCCTTTTTGGATTTTTTACTTTCTTTTATCTTGTTTTGAATCGCTCTCTTAGTTGTTTGGTTCGAGTTTTGGCCATATATTCCGCAATCTTATCCGAAAGCAGCAGTGAACAACAGAAATGCTTTGAGATGATTGCATTGTCCCTATAATGCGGGAACAACTTGCTGAAAGATTTTACGATCAACTTTCGCCCTACATTGAGACTAGCAACACAAAACGACAGTATTATCATAAATTCAGCGGAGTCAATGTCAGTTTCTGAAGTTATGTAACTGTGTTTCATTCTGATAGAAGAGTAAAGCTGATGTGACCCCCGTTATGCTATAGCATGTGTCTACTGTTGTTTCGCATGTGGGATGCATTGAGCCTGCATGTAATATTAAATTTAGAAGATGTTTCATGCAACGTCCTCAACAACTGCCACCCAAACGCCAAGTGCAATTACAGTCCTCACACCAACGCCTACGTGTGCCAGTGTGAGGCCGGCTATTCGGGAGACGGCAATTTCTGTTCCAAGGTGGAGGTAAGCGTTGCGAGTTGTCTGCTGTCCCGATTCATCACTCATCAGCAATTGACATTCAGACAGACGCAAATCATAAATGTAAGAGTTCAGAAGACTGTCATTCAAATGCGCACTGCGTGTTCAGAGATTCTGCCTACGAATATTTTTGCGAATGCCTACCGGGATACAGAGGAGACGGTTTCAGTAACTGTGACCCTGCAGGTGATTCGAGTTCGTGCATGTCAAATGCCATGTGATCTGACGTGCAGACCTTTATAGACGAATGCTTTCCCGGTAACGAGAATACCGGCTGCGGCGAACTGGCCAAGTGCAGTTTCGATCTAGAAAAGGTCGCTTATGTATGCAAATGCATTGGCGGATACACTGGCGATGGCCACACCTGTGTACCGGAAGTGGGTAAGTCTATCAGTCAACCTTTCAACTGGTAGAAACAGAAGAAAAACGTTCGATATTAAAATTGTACTCCGGTGGTTCTCAAATCCCGCGACGCGACCCAGGTGATGTTCCCGAGCGTCGCGAGTTTTAGAAAACAAAATTAATTTCATAAATTGTACTTTACACCTTTTCTGATTAAAGGTTATTGAGATTCATTACCTGTAAAATCAACTTGCGCATAAAGGTTGCAGTTTTTGATATGTTCGTATCAACTGAAGCGTATGCCGTTACCTACGTTATGGTAGGTGATAGCTGCTTCTGTTAGAATTTGTGCGACATTTTTAAAAGTAGTCGTTTCTAGTTCATACAGCAAAATTAACCTGGCTACAGCGAGGTCAAAATGGACAGTGGAGATGGCTATTAATTATGCTTTCCAAACCAGATTTTCGACAGGATTTTGAAGATGGTAATAGAAGGCAGTGTGACCCTCCTGTTTTAGTCCTCATTTTAGTTACTAGCCTCTTGGTGACGTCCCTGAGGCATTGGGCTACTACATTTCTTCTACCTTTTTCATGGTACACCTACAACATAACTTTTGTATTTAGAATTTTTTGTTGATGTCATCGTCTTGAGCCGTTTGCGTATGCAAAACGTCTCTGGGTTTGCGATTTGCGCTGTATCCGCAGC